CTAACCGCTGAGCCAAACTGGCCAGGGCAAACCTGCACTTCTTTATTCACTCTTTCCCTCTGGCTTCTTTTAAGATTTTCTATTGGTCTTTCGTTTTCTGCAGTGAGAATAGGAGACACCTTTGGTTGTTTTTTGCATTTTTCTTGCTTGGTGTTCTCTCAGCTTCTTGGGTCTGTTGTTTGGCATCTTCCATTTTGAAATGCTCTCGGCCATTATTACTTCATATATTCCTTCTGCTCTGTTCTCTTTGCCTTCTGGTATTCCAGCTCCACCTACGTCGCACTTTTGGAAATGACCCATTTTTAGATGTTCTTTTTTTCTTTTTGCATTTCAGTTTGGGAAATTTCTATTGACCAATCTGCTGTTCACTGAGTCTTTCCTAAACTATTTTGAGTCTAATGATGAGCCCATGGAAGGCATTCTTCCAGTCTATTCCAGTAATTTTGATTTCTAGCATTTTCCTTTGATTCTTCGTGTTTCCATTTCCAATTACACTACCCTTCTGCTCTTGCATATTGTCTTTTTCCACTAAATCCTTTCACACATTAATCATAGTTATTTAAAATTGTTTGATAATTCCAATATCTGTGTCATATCTGACTCTGATTGCTCTCTCTCTTCAGACGGTTTTTTCTTCTTCTTACCTTTTGGCATGCCTTGTAATTTTTTGTTGAAAGCCAGACATGTTGCATTGAATAACAGAAATCAAGGTGAACAGGCCTTATGTGTGAGGATTTATCTTGCCAGAGAGGCAGTGTGTTCAAGGTTTGCTATAGTTATAGTACCAGAGGCTTCAAATTATTCTAGTCTTTGCTTCTGTCTCTGTCTTAACTTTGGTTTTCCTTAATTATGCTTCCTCAAGAATTTCTTGCAGCTTTCAGCTGTAATCCACTGGTTATCCTGGAGCCATGGTAGTGTGGTGGTAATGTTGGGGGGTGGGGAGTCTATAGTCTCCAGATCAATCTCAGTGTTTTAGTGGGCCTGTGACCTTCACAAATGTTTTCCTAGTGGTATAGTTTCCCCCCTTGGCCCCTTCCTCCCTTCCCTGCCTGAAGCTTTACCAATATAGTTCCTTCAAGTCTTGACCCCTGTTGATGTCTTTCCCCTCCTTGGGTGAGACGGGAAGGCTAGATGGGCTAGTGAGAATACCCTTCCCCCAGTGGGGAAAGGGCTCTGGCAGTCTTTTATCCTGCAGAGTAGGCCTTTGTATCAAGTTCTAGGCATATTTTACAAAGATTATTCATCTCCTCTCCCTGCCAGAGCCATAAGGGGAAATCTTACTGGTTCTTCACTGTGGGAATCTGATGGGGTTCCTAGAGGCAAAGCTCAGGAACTTGTGGGGGCCCCTTTAAGACTGCGACCACACTCAACCTCTAGCAATTCATCAAGATTACCATGTAAGTGTTCCTACCAGTTTATCGCTTCCGCAGTTTCTGCTCCAAGTGAACAGCTTTTAACTGTCTCTCTAAATGAGCCCATCTCTCCAGATTTTGGGGTTGTAGTTTGCCCTGTAACCTTAATTCTCTGATGGGTAGGTCCAACACAAGTCATTTTTAGTCTGTTGAGCTATGTCTTGCTGTGAGGACAAGCTCTTTAAGTGTCAGAGCTGAAACTAGAGGCCTCTATTTCATTTTGAATGGCCATTCCCTTCCCTTCATCTGAACTCCCATGTCCCTTCTTGTCCTCACACTTTCCACGTCTCCAATTTGACTGTAGTAGCAGTGAATCTTTTCAAGACAGAGTCGTAACAAGACTGAGTTTCTTAAGAAAAAGGTCTGTGTTTAACCTCTTGTCTATGGTAACACTTTGCACATATAAAATGCTCAAAGCTGTTTGACTTTATTGGGTCGCTCCCAAGCATGGCTCTCACCTAGCAGTAAAGAACATCTGTGGTGAGAAGTCACCCAGCATCCTGTCCTCTGAACTTCCTTTTGTGCTTCTGAATGAGTTTTTCCATGGCAAACTTCACTTACTGTAAATCAAGATTTACAGAGGTAATTTTTCAAGATCTGATACGTCCTGACTTTTTCTCCATTTCCTGATTTCTTTTTGTAATGACTTAATTAGCCAGGTTAAAGTAGCCAAGATAAAATCTGGCCAAATTCCTGGAAATCAAAGAACCTCCTAGCTAAGTGTCCAAACCTGGCTGTTTCCAAATTACCTGGGAAGCTTTAAAAAAAAAAAAAAAAATCTTGGGACTCAATATTAGAGAGTAATTGTAGCGCATAGCTAAGGTTAGGAAAACAAGATACTTCTAATCAGCAAGCTCTTCAGGTCAAAAAGTACATTTATACCCCCCACTTAAAATCAAACCAAAAAAACAAAACCAAACCCAGCTATTTAATCACTCATGTCCAGCATAGAGGACATAGGAAATGTTACTGAAAATTCACCCTTTCATTCATTCAATAAATGTATTGAGCATCATATACGGCCTGGGTACCAAGGCACAGCCCCTGTCCACAAGAAGAGTCAGATCCTCTTCTTCCAGGGCCATCACGTCCTGGCTAACTGTGAGCATGTTACTTAAGTTTTCACAGCCTCTGTCTTCTTATCTACAAAGGAGAATATTATTTACTTCATAGGAAAGTGCTGTGACAAAGATCACAAAGAAACCACTGAGGAAGACTTATACTCTATTCTCCTAAAATAGTTTCTAAACACTTGCATAATGTAATAATCCCAGCCAGCACCCACAGGGCAGTTAATCTATATGGCAGGCAGTGTGCTAAGCTCTCTGTCCATCCACACTTCAGACAAATCTTATCTGTAAAGGCCTAGGGACCTGCAGCCTCCTTTCATTGGCTATGTTCATCCTCAGGCCTATAACCAAAGCAGGCAAAGTAAGCTGAGGTCAACAGGACAAGAAATTTTAATGTAGAGGGGCCACAACAAGAGGGCCACAGGATATAATAAATTGAATAGCCACAGGATGTAATAAATAGAAAATGTCAGCACCTCCTACCGGAGGTCATCAACAGCAGTGAGGGTCACAATGGCAAAAGAAACCAAGTATCAGATTAACCCACCCAAGAACTGCCACGGGTTTGGTGGTACCAGTTGCTGTTAGCACTCATGTATCTGTGATTACCACTGCCATCGGAGAACTATTACTAAGCCTTTACATGTCCCAGACATGCTGTCCTATGGTTTTACATTTAGTCCTCAACAACTCTTACTAAAGGCGCCACCGATGTTGACCCTTTACAACTGGCAGCTGAACACCTGACACAAGACAATTGCTGCATAATCCACTGCAACATTCACTTTTTTTCCCCCTCACCCGAGGACATGTTTGCATCCATCTTCAGACAGAGCAGGAGGGAGACAGGGAGGAAGAGAGAGAGAGAAACATCGATGTGAGAGAGACATATCAACTGGCTGCCACCCACATGACCCCAACTGGGGCTGGAGACAAACTGCAACCGAAGTACGTGCCCTTAGCAGGAACTGAGCCTGCGTCTCTCTGGTCCACGGGCCAATGCTCTAACCACTGAGCAAAACCAGCCAGGGCTCACTTCTATTATTTTAGTAAGACTCTTACAGGCTTCTAGAACATTCTCCTGCATGATTAAACAGCCCCTGCATTTTTATTTTACAGATTAAAGCTGTAGTTTTAACATAGACCATGGTTTCAATTCTCTGGAAGACAACACTGAAAAGTACTGTCCCTGATAAAAACATGTTATCTGGAATAGACAACTTTTCACCTAACTTAAAACTTTCAGCTTTCTGAGAGTATGCCTGTCCTTAGGAAACTGTAGAGATTAGAAGTAAGCAGACCAATACATCCCATCCTAAAGCATATTATTCCCTCATCTACACATGACCAAAATCAAAAGAATTCCACGGTGAGCGGAAACCTCAGCACTCTTGACGTTTTTCTGCTGTGGGAAGCTATCCTGTGTACTGCAGGGTCAGCAGCACCTCTAGCTTCTGCCCCCGGGTTTTCAGTGGCATTCTCCAGCTGTGACAAGCAAAACACCTCACAATGTTGCCAAATGTCCCTTGGGGTAAAAATCATCCCTGGTTGAGAACTACTGCTTTAGAAGTATTATTCAGTTTAACAGAGCTACCATTAATTTGTTCTGAATACTGAAAACTAACAGACTTTATTTCTCTAGCTCAATAAAATAAAATTCATGTTTTTAGCTTTGTGTCTTAATTATAGTAACTGAAAGGTCCAATATTATGGAACTGTGAAATACTAAGGCCTTAGAGGGCAGGTCTGACTTCTTCCTGTGATTTCTAATCTTCTTGGTGGACAGCCTAGGTTGGCCAAGACCCATGCTGGTTTCCTCTCATATGGGCTGACTTGTCTCTAGGTGACACTCTGGTGTGGGAGGACAAACTCTCCTTACTTTGGGGATGAACTCTAGGTCACAGTGGGTCCCCAAAGCACCAGATGTTGTGCAGATTCAAACTAGAGACCATATACTGGCTGCAAAGGCCTGGACACAACACAGGTTAGTCAGCCAAGAGTCATGTATTTTCTGGTTTTTTTAATCATTTATACAAGTCAGGCTAGAATACTACCCTCCCTTGGTTAAAGAGAATTAAGAGTGCCACTATCCCAAGCCAAATTAGAGGGGATGAATCTGCTGACTAAAAAAAGTTATTACACCCTTACTAAGTTTGTTTAAGCAGGTCACTCAGATGAACCAAAACAAAAAAAAAAATAGGAGGCATAGTATTGACTTATCTTAAAAAGCCTTTTAAAAAGAATGACTTGAGATTATAAAGCATTTTTCAAATACACTAAGTGCTTCGTAATAACTCAATAAGCCTTAAGGAATTTTTTTTAAGTACATTTTTTTTTGTTGTTTAAAAGAAAATACCCCATTCAAAAGGTGGTGACATATTTGATATCACCACTGTTTAAAGAGGAATGAAGTTACAGGAATGAGAAGTATATAATTAGTAAATAATCCCTCTCAACAAGTGAGTTAAGTAGGAAAGCCACAAAGGAAAAAAAGAAAAGCCGGAGGCAACACAATCAGTGCATATCAGAAATGCATTTTTATTTGAAAACAACTTTAAATTTTTAGACAAATGATCTTAGTATATAAATTTGACTTTGTTTTTATACAGAATATAAAGATTTCCCTCACTGATCTTCCATGTGAAGGGTATCACAAGCCTGAAGGAATACTTTCTGCATACAAGTGTGTATCTTACGTGCAGGGTGCTGGCAAGGAATGGTGCAGTGCTCCTGCACATAAGTTAGGTCAAGTGACGTTACATATTAAAAAGGGTAAGAGAAATATTCTAGTTAATCATATTCAAGAAGCAAACATGACACAAAAACTGCAGCTAAGACCAGGTCAGTAACTTTAGTCAGGACACTGCGGAGTATGCTGGGATAACAGATTGTGAGGCTATCGTGTGCAGCACATGAAACAGCAAGGAAGAGCTATTATATAGAAAGGCTGGAATGAGAGACTTCACTAAAGCAAATTAACTTCTTGTCAACTGCCAAAGCAAAACAAGACAAAACAGAGCACACAAGTGTTAGTACACCGAAGGCATGTTATACCAGTTCTGCGCAGCATGCTAAGTGAGTTAGAACTTCTTCACCGGTGCAGACAATCATAATAGTCACGGAAAGTTTTTTTGCCCTTTCTCACCAAATTTCAGGCATGTCTTATTTTAGATGGAGTATAGCTTTTATCTATTATTTCATCCTGTAAAAACATGTGAAGACAACGTTCATTCTGTGCCAGAGGATGACCAGCGACCCTAGGAATAAAAAAGACAAATTTAGTCCAATATTTTATAAACAGGGGTGGAGGGGTGTCAAACACTGTTTTAAAGTCAGGGAGCATGTACAATTTAGTAATAGTAAGTGTTAGTCTGAACTGCTCACAAAGCTATGCTCTATCAACTTGTGGTAAATTTTCTTTCCTTTGGTTCACAAGGGTAATTTAGAAAACATTCAATCACAAGCTTTGCACTGCTTCTGGCACATGTGCACAATTGGCTTCTTTATCTGTTAGATGGTATATTCATAAGAAACCTAAATTAACTTTAATTAATTTGAAATATGTCTTGGTTCTAAGAATCCATTTTAAAAAAGAAAAAGATACAGAATTAGAGTTAGAAATACAATGGAGTTCAATAAAAGACCCAAATAGTAAGAAATAGGCACAAATGGCCCTGGCCAGATTCACTCAACAATTAGAGTGTCTGCCCGCAGACCAGAGAGTCATGGGTTTGATTCTGGTCAAGGGTACGTACCTCGGTTGCAGCTCAGTCCCCGGCCCTGGTCAGGGTCATGCAGGAGGTAACCAGTCGATGTGTCTCCCCACCCCCCACCCCCACTTTATCTGAAGATAAATGGAAAAATATCCTTGGGTGAGGATTAAAAGAAAAGAAGAAGAAATAGGCACACATGTTACAGAGGTGTTTTTTTTTAAAGGAGGGCGGTGCTTTTACTTATTTATTCATTTATTTTAAAGTTTTATTTATTTTAATGTTTTTTTAATTCATTTTTTTTTAAAGGGAGAGAGATATAGCAACATCAATTGGCTGCCTCCTGCACGCCCCCTACTGGGGATCGAGCCCAAAACCTGGGCATGTGCCCTGACTGGGAATAGAACTGTGACCTCTCAGTCCATGGGAAAACACTCAATCCCACTGAGCTACACCCAGCCAGGCTAAAGTTTTATTTATTGATTTTAGAGAGAGAGAAGAAGGCAGGGGGAGAAAGGCAAAAAGAGAGAGAGCAAGAGAGAGATTTGTTGTTCTGCTTATTTATGCATCCATTGGTTGATTCTTGTCTGTGCCCTGACCTTGGTGTATCAGGATGACACTCTAACCAACCTGAGCTACCTGGCCAGGGCCACCTTTAAAGGTTTCCATTTGACTAAACACAAGTTCAGACTGGGCAAACAGACTTCTATTTCAGAATTTAAAAACATCTAATCTAGTAATGCCTTCTCTAAAAGGAAAGTATGTTCATAAAAGACAATGCAGGTTATGTGCTATAGTAGATAACTACAAGTTAAAGGCTGTATAACTTTTTCTTCTGTTTACTTACCACTCACAGATCTTCAAACCATTAGATAAAAATTAAAGTGTTTTTAATAAATAGCTCACACAACCATATTCTCTAGGATTTGACCTTATTTGGTTGAATTTAAGGCCAATACATAATTATAGTGGATCCTTTCCTGGCATAACTCTCCCTATTTGACTTTTAAAAATGGCTGTATTTCAAATGGAAATAAAATTTAAAGTTAGAAATTTTACTTTGAGCTTAAGATTTCTAAAGTAAAAGATAACCCAAGTCTCCTTACATTTCCAAAAGAATACATTTTGCCATAAAATTTTTAAATTTACAGGACATGCTGATAATACCTCCATCTGCAATCAAACAAAACAACTTCCAGAGTATTGTGAGTTTTATTGTTAATACTAGAACATATCTAACATCAGAAAAAATAATAAGTAAAACTGTATTTTTTTTTTTTTTTTTATCCTCACCCGAGGATATTTTTCCATTTTTTGTACAGATAGAGTGGGAGGGAGAGAGAGGAAGGAGAGGGAGAGAGAGAAACATCGACGTGAAGGGACACATCGAGTGGCTGCCACCCGCACGACCAACCAGGGCCGGGGACAAACTGCAACCGAAGTACGTGCCCTTAGCGGGAACCGAACCCGGGTCTCTCCGGACCGCAGGCCGACGCTCTAACCGCTGAGCCAAACTGGCCAGGGCTAAAACTGTATTTTTTAAATGCTGCAATTTTAAATGTAGTTTGCATAAATTAACCAAGAAAAACAAAATCAAAACTTAGGTCAAAACAAAGGTACTCATCAATCACTCAAGTGTGTTAATATTTATCACATGATATTCAACTTGTTATATACTTTTTGTTTAAATGATACAAAAATTAGTTAGGAAATGGCCAAAAGAAAAAGTAACATTACAATTTAGCTTAGTATAAAAATTACTAGTAGTCACATTAGGTTGTCTCAAGAACACTGCTCACTCTTACATCCCGAGAAACAGAAAACACTTACTTGTTTATAAACTGCTCCAGCCCTTGCTTCCTTTCTTCAATGAAATTGTCATCAAATATTCCATCATCTCCTCTAAAAGGAAGCTGACGCAAAAACGCTTTCCCAGGGAGTGGGGGAACTACAACCTACAACAAAGTAAGGAAAGAAAATTCTTGAACATGCTGACCGAGTTGTGAACATTTATAGAGTACAACATGCAGACAAAGTATATTCTTACTATGAGAGCTGTCCCACTGTCCAACTTGATTAAATATAAAATGGAATCAGCAAAAAACTCACTGAAAAAAATATTCAATGCAAAACAGCCTATCAGAACAAAGCTCTTCAATGGTTGGGCCCTTAGCTTATTATCATTTTTCCTGGACTTATTAGCAAAGCATAGGTATACAAGGAGAACATTCAAGCAATACTGAAACAAAAGCGACCACATCCCTCAGACAGTTTTGATGTCACTTGGGGAAGACAATGCTTTATTACAATGGAAGCTGCAGAGATCAAAATTAACTCCCCCATTGGGGTTCATGCAGGAGGCAACCAATTAATGTGTCTCTCTCACATCGATGTTTCTCTTTCTTCCTTACCCCTTTCTGCTCTCCCTAAAAATCAATGGAAAAAATATCCTCGGGTAAGGTCTAACAACAACAACAACAACAACAACAACAAGAAATCAAGTCTCAATTCAATAATGAAATAAAATATTAACAATGTTCTGACATTGACAGGTAAAAGTTCTGTGATCTTCCGCAGAAACAAAATTTCTTCCACCTCATACCATCTGCACAGTCTTTCCTACTTGTGTCTGAGGTGATGACAAAATAATTAACTACTTGTCACCACTCTTCTATTTCCTAGGCTAAGAAACATGTTAACTCTCTCCCAAATCCACTATCCTGTCTTTTCCCAAAGACCTATTATTTCTTCCTTCCCACACCATAGGAACATCCCAGATTTTCCCCTTCAAAGTTCAACTATTCTATAGAGTCAACTTATATTGATATCTCTCCTCTGGAAATTATTTGAAGGTCAATTATTTGCTTTAATTAAATAGCAGCTAGCTATTTATTTCATAGGTTAGTTTGGTTTTTCTATCCTAGGGTTCCTCAACCATGGCACTTCCACATAATTCTTTGTATTGGAGGAGGGATTTCTTATGCACTATAGAATACTCAACAGCATCCCAGGCCGCTACCCTCTAATAAAGCCAGTAGTACCCATAGTTATGACAATAAAAAATGTCTCCAAAATTGTCAAATGTCAAACCCTGATGCAGTTTCTATAACTAGGAGTTATTCTAAAACAATTCAACAGAATAAAAAAGGGAAAGAGCAACACAACTTCACATAGATTGGCAAAATGCAATCAAAAGATAATAACTATTACTATCTGACGTGACTGAGGTATTAATCAACCTTATTGTGGTAATCATTCCATAAGCTATATACATACATCGAATCATCAGGTTACAAACCTTAAACTTACACAATGTTATTTATCAATTGTATCTCAATAAAGCTGGGGGGAAAAGGCACTTCTTTCCTCTAGTCATAAAAAATTTATTCTTTGTTCTCCAAAACTTTCCTAACTTGTTCTGTATATTTAGATCTTCAAAACATCTATAATTGACATACAATGGGTTTTAAATCTTTATTCCCAAACAGACAACCAAATGTTTTAACCCCATTTACCGAATATAAATTCCTTTCTCCATTGATCAACATTTTTTTGTTATGAACTAAATTTCCAATAAACACATGGGTCAGCTTCTAAATTCTATTACATCTACTAACCTATTTGTCCTTCAGAACAGCTTAAAGATACATTCTGATGTCTGCAGGTGCTTAATATATGTTGAAAGTAATTTCTGGTTGTTTTTGAGCTTTGTCAGATTCTTAAGTTCATATATAAATCTGCAAGTTTATAAAGACCCCCAATACCTTACTTCTGCCAAGTCTACTGCTAAAATGCCACCTCTAAGTGAGGCATACTATGCCCTTTGATTCTATCCTAACATAGATAAGGCTGAAATAAGGGCTATCAGAGTGAGACGGTGCTCTAATTTATTTTGCAACCAAAGCTTACAATTCTCACCAAGGTATAACTATTTTCAAATTGCAGGTAGCTACCCATTAGTACATTATGGTCATTTTAAAAAGCTAATCTGGCCCTGGCCAATTTGGCTCAGTGGCTGGAGTGTCAGCCCAAGGACCAAAGAGTTGCAGGTTCAATTCCAGTCAAAGGCTTGCACCTCGGTTGCGGTCCGTCCCCCAGGGCCCTGCAGGAGGCAACCAATCAATGTGTCTCTCTCATATCAATGATGTATCCCCCCCCCTTCCCACTCTATCTGAAGATAAATGGAGGAATATCCTCAGGTGAGGATTTTTTTTAAAAAAGCTAATCTAAAGAATATCAGTGTGTATCACACAGAGTAAGCTAAGTACTTGTTTAGAAACTTTTGTTTTATGTAAATGTATGATGATAAAAAATGTAGTATGAGTCAGTGAAAAATACTGGAAATACACTGACATAGGAGATGTACTGAGGAAGAGAAACTTGGCAAGGGGTGTGGAGGGGGAAGGTGGAATAGGAAGATGAGGGAAAGGAAGTGATAGTAAAAAAGTTTGAAGAAGTAAGTGTTATTCAAGTGAGTCAACAAAGGCCTCAATTGAGCCATTAAAGTAGACAAAAGAAGGAAGAAAGTTCTAAGGAAAAATTACAGACTTCCTCCATCTCCCATGATATAAGACAAAACTGAACTATTTGAATCAAATTTACTTTTACCCACTTTATTCAAGATAATTTTCCTGAGAAATCTTTTTTTTTTTTTAAAGAAGGAGCAGTCTTTTTAATTGATTTTTTTTTTTTTAGAGAGGAAGGGAGAGAAACATCAATGTGAAAGAGGAACATCCAGTGGCTGCCTCCTATATGCCCCTGACCAGGAATTGAACTGGGACCTCTCAGTCCATGGAACTATGCTCAATCCACCGAGCCACACCAGCCGGGCGTGAGTAATCTTAAATACTGAAATTTGAAATGTTTTGCTTTAAAGTTGCATTACAAATAATTCTTACCTTGCTCTCTCTTTCTAATTCACTTCGCAGCCATTCAAAGTCACTGTATCTTCTTCTAACAGTAGATTCCTTCAGCTTGAAAATAGGCAGATTTGTCTGAAACAAAAAGTGTCACTTGTAAATTGAAGCATATTATAGGAACTTCGAAACAAGGAGGGGGTGAGATCTATTTGTCAAATTAATAACATGGCAAGCCTGGTTACCTTAAGAGAAGAAAATCACAGTTATTAAAGTGTCATTTTATCTTTAACAAAATAAAACTTAGCTAACTATTTAAAAAGTATGTTATTTATACTAGAGTACAACTTTCAATATGCATGTTTACACATATGCTATTGGACGTTATTCTGCCTAAGGTTAGTTACATAAACAAAGGTCATTTTTTCTATTTCAGTGATCTGTAAAAATGTCAACTGAACAGGGGTGAAGATAAAGCTAGCTGTTTGCAATCTAGTTCGGATAGCACCTTAGTATATAATGCTCATTGGAGAAACAGACCTTAACCATTTTAAAATAAAATATAAAATATTTTGTTATTATAACTAGATCATATGTTACATAATGGAAGAAATAAAGAATTATTCTTAATGATCTTCTTTAAAAATGCCAAAAAAAATTAGGAGCCATACACTTAAAATTTTTTCTTCTTTATTGATTTTAAGAGGAGAGGAAGAGAGAGGGAGAGAGAGTTAGAAACATCAATGAGAACATTGATTGGACGCCTCCTGCAAGCCCCTCACTGGGGATTGGGTGGTGGGCACATGCCCTGACTGGGAAGCAAACTGGCGACCTCTTGGTGCATGAGTCAACGCTCAACCACTGAGCCACACCGGCAGGAGCCATACACTTTACATCAGGTTCATATCCAGAGCTTTACAAGCTGACGGAAAAATTAACAATAGAAAACATAATGCCCAGTACTTTGAGGTTACATTGGAATGGAAGAAAATTTTTAGAGATTGCAAAGATAACTTCTGTCAACTTCTAAACTTAAAGTAACAGAAAGACATCTATTTATCTTTTACTGATCCCTAAAAAAAGAAAACATGCTGCCAAATCCAATTAGTCCAATTAAAAATAGTTTCTGATTAAGGACAAATAGCAGAAGCTGTGTAGGATCACAATTTTATCATCAAGAATAAATTTTATGCCCTGGCCGGTTTGGCTCAGCGGTTAGAGCGTCGGCCTGCGGTCCTGAGAGACCCGGGTTCGGTTCCCGCTAGGGGCATGTACCTCAGTTGCAGTTTGTCCCCGGCCCTGGTCAGTTGTGCAGGTGGCAGCCACTCGATGTGTCCCTTTCACATCGATATTTCTCTCTCTCTCTCTCTGTTCCTCTCTCTCCCCCTGAACAACAACAACAAAAAAAACACACACAAAAAAGAATAAATTTTATGAACCTTTAATCACTGCTGGTAGGACTGTTAACTGGTACAGCCACTATGGGAAACAATATGGAGGTTCCTCAAAAAATTAGAGTTACCATATGACCCAGCAACCTTGCTCTGGGCATCTACCTGAAAAATTTGAAAACATTTGTTTGTAAAAATATATGTACCCCTATGTTCATTGCAGTATTATTCACAGTGGTCAAGACATGGAAACTGAAATGTCCTTTGACAGATGATTGAATAAAGAAGATGTAGTATGTAAATACAATGGAATACCACTCCACCATAGAAAAGATAATACTCTCATTTGCTACAACATGGCTGGATCTTAAAAATATCACGCTTAGCAAATACATCAGACAGAAGAAAGTCAAGAACCGTATGATTTTACCCATATGTAAGATATAAAACTGAAAACAAATGAACAAATAAGACAAACAAAAACTCATAAACATAGACAACAGCACGGTGGTTATCAGAGGGAAAGGGGGGTGGGGGAGAGGCAGTAAAGAGGGTCAAATACAAGATGATGGAGGGAGATTTGACTCTGGGTGGTAAACACACAATGTAATATACAGATGATGTATTACAGAATTGTACACTTGAAACATTTATTTTTATTAACGAATGTCACCCTGATACATTTTTAAAAAGAACAGATTTTAATAGTGTCACAAGTTTGTAGGGGACAGAAATGACCTAACGCAATTAATACCATATCACACTGAAAATGCTATTTAATACTACAGTTGACCCTTGAATGACACGGGTTTGAACTGCACAGGTCCACTTAGGTGTGGTTTTGTTTTTTCAATAAATAAATTTAAATTTTTTTTGGAGATTTGCAACAACTTGGAAAAAACGCAAAACATGTAGCCTAGAAATATAAAAAAATATTAAGAAAAAGTTAGGTACATTATGCATGCATAAAATATATACAGATACTAGTCTATTTTGTCATTTAGTACCATAAAATACATAAAAATCTATTGTAAAAAGTTAAAACTTACACACATACTTAAAGACCATACATGGCATCACTGGCTGTTGAGAGAAATGTAAACAAATGTAAAGATTAAATCATAACTGCATAAAATTAAGTATAGTACATACTGTGCTACTATAATAATTTCATAGTGACCTCTTGTATCAATTACACTAGGTTACCATAAAGCAATCATATAGGCTTCTTTGTTATCAATTCATGAATCCTTATGTGTGTAAAGAAATAATAATTAATTTTTCACAGTATCTTTTCATTTTTGATATCTAGTGTTAGTAATACATGTAACATCTACAGTGTTTTGTGTCATAAGACAATATTGATGTAGGTAGTGACAGACGATTCATTTATAAACAGATGACATAATCTTATGATATTGATAAATACAGTCCAGTACTATAAAAGTTAATTGTCCTTATAATTTTCTTAGTAACATTTTCTTTTCTCTAGATTACTTTATTGTAAGAATATAGTATAGGATACTATATAACACACAAAACATGTTTATGTTATCGGTAAGGCTTCCAGTCAACAGTATGCTATTAGTAGTTAAGTTTTGGGGAAATCAAGTTATAGGCAGATTTTCAACTGTGTGGGGCATTGGCACCCCAAATCCCAGTGCTGTTCAAGAGTTAACTGTGTAGGCTCTCAGATTATATTTTGTCCTTAATTCAACCTTTGCACTTGTAGAATCACAAACTGTTTTACAGCTGAAAAGAAAAAAGTTAAGTGCCACTAAAAGAAAAGGCTGGCTTCTTATTTTATATACAGGGACATCATCATTATATAAAATTCACTCTTAAGAAAATTCCAATCATTTGTTAAACTTAATGCCACTGGTAATTGTCATTCAGCTAAAGAAAAGCTTTTTATTTAGGATCTTAAACCCACTTTGTAGTGGTCTAAATTTTTCCCAAAGTGTATTAACTTCTCTATGTGGTATACCTTATAGCTTGGAATCTTCTCCAGATGCTATTGGGCATAACACTGTATAGGTTTCAAGCATGAAACCAAATCTCACAAGAGGTTTAAAAGCACTTGAATTTTCTTTCCCAGGTAACCACAACATTTGTTCATTGTATTAATGACTAAGAGCAAATTGCACCTAACAAGACTCTTATTATACTAAAAGTCAAGCTTATATTTAGAGATGCTGGCTTGCTGTACAGAGAGGTATTCTCATTCCCCACAGGGAATAAAATTAGGTCCCCTGGAGAGCAGGATGATAATTCCCAGAAAGAAAGCACTGGATTATTTCTCTCTAATTTCACCCATTGGCTTTTTAACCAAGTTCACCCTTCCGCATTAAAATATTAAGTCTTTGTAAGTGTCTAAAGATAGAAAGGCCTTCACAGAATTGAGTGTTTTCTGCAGGTGAGATTTTACATTTTGAATTCCCTCCTCTCAAATTACTTTACAAAGGGGATTAGCTGCTCTCTTTATTCAATATGTTAAGATCAAGCTTGTGAAAAGAGTTCCCTAAGAATTTTCATACTTCTGGGTACGGAAGTCTATAAAGTTAATCTCTGAAACAACATATCAAGCTTACAGGTACAATGTTGAGGGAAGAGTGCCAATCTGGCTCATTTTACCTTCCATTTTCCCTTTTGAACTTTTGACATAATCATGATTATATCTGATTCACTTTAATAAAAGGGGAGTAGGAGGGAGAAAAAAATCCAATCCTTTCTATGATTAGCTAATAGTTTGACAGATTATACATTAAAAAAGAATCATGGTTAGTTTAAGAAAATTCTTTTATTTAGTTTTCTCACCTACCTATGATTTCTCTTTGTATAAAGACTGCTATACTTTTGATAGTCACATCAAGTAATTCTCAATATTATTTGCTCATTACATTTAGAGTGATAAGTTTGCCTGTTAATGTCGTCCTGATAATCACAAGGAATTTTAATTCAACTTGATCAAACTACAAATAAAAAAATGATGATTACAAACTGGTCACTTTCAACGTAACACTTATAAAATGTTCTACTTTGTTTTTTTTTTAAAAAATAAGAGTAAGGATAATTTTTTCCTACAGTTTTGGGAAGATTCAACTATTATTACAGTTTGGGAGCATCTATAATAGGGCACAGTGCTAGGTAAAGTGGGTAATATAATAATAAATAAGATATCCTGACCCTTATGAAGCTTATATTGGGGAGGTAAAAAGATAAGCATATAAACAATTAAATTTACATGATTAAAAATACCATACACCATAAACAATAACAAAGAAACACCAAGAATAAATTGTAGACAAATATCTGCAACATAAAACAAAAAGATAATTTCATCAAAAGGTAAAGAACTTAGGAAACAATGAAAGATAAAAATGAATAACCTGAAAAATAAAATAGGCAGAACACAGAAAAACTAATGGCCAGTAACGTCCAACTTCACTCATACAAGAAATGTTAGTTAAAACAGTAAGATCCCGTTTTCATTTATCAAACAGGCAGGCATTAAATTTTAATACCCAGTGACAGTAAGGGTAGAGAAACAGACATCTAAACAAACCTGCTAATGGTAGTGAAAACTTGGTATACCCTGTAAGGAGGCCATTTTGGCACCATCTTTCACTCTTTTTAAAAAATATTTTTCAATTACAGTTGACATACAGTATTAATTTCAGGTATATAACATAGTGACTAGACACTGACATACCTTACAAAATGATCACCCTGATAAGTCTAGTAACC